AGACCATTGTACCGTATGTTAGCATAGGTCTTATGATAGCCGTGTAAGTCCATGCGACGACTCTGGGGGAGAAATCACAGGTACGCCCCACGGATCGGCAGCACTGTTCATAAGCTATTTATGGTCTTTTAACTCTGTTTTCCGTGTTAACTTGCTGTCAAAGATGAGACCTAGGTACTTCACCTCAGTTGCAAAGTTTAGTTTTGTGTTTAGGAGTGCTGGAGTTTTTAATTCCATTTTCATCATTTTCCTTGTGAAAAGGACCATTTCTGTCTTCTTAGGATTGATAGACAGTGAATGGTCCTTGCACCATTGTTCTATAATTTTTAGAGCTACTTGCATTCAAGAATTATTATAAAATAGTTGTTGCTCACTGCAAAAATATACCGAAATTGTAATGAATTTAAATTAATGTCAAAGTTCACTTTATTTTTAGGAATTTTCAAATATATATATTTTATTTTAATTTTGAATACTATAATACTTATATTCCCTCTTGGGCCCGGCCAATTTGATTAATTCGTTTTCCCCTGCCATCCTCCGCTCTTTTCTTGATTTTCCTATTTCCATTATAGTCTAAGGGCCAACAATTTATTATCAATTCACCCCTTATTACAGGTATTTTTTTTTTAGTCTTGTGCTACAATGTATCAGTACATTCAAATAAATACAATCGTTAACCAGTTTCAAGATTGTTTTGAAAAATATTTTGTCTCGTTGAAAAATGACGTTGACATAATTAGAAACGAAATTATCGTCGTTAAAACCGTTTGCATTTTATTGTTTATGATCATTTTATGGGTTCATCTAGATTTTCTGGTTTCTAACGAATTCAACGCAAATGATAGCATCTATTATCCCACACTGTATTTCGAGAACAAAATTAATAAATACGTTTTGATCGTTTTGTTTCTACCGCACTGGTTAATCATGGCGTTCAATGTGGTTTTTCTATGTTGGATCATAGTTTACATCACCATGCATCTGAAGTTTCAATTGGATGCGTTGAGACGATATCTGAAGGAGAAAATAAGTGATATAAAAGTAAACGAACAAATGTGCATGGAGGACAAAAAATATCAAGATATCGTCTATAGACGTTTAAGATTTTGCGTACAGCGTCACATCACCTTGAAAAGGTAAGTTATGTTTCTAATGTATCAGGCATTCCAACGACCTGTCAAAATGCTGCTTGCGGGTAATGACAGGTGATGATATGGCAACCCTGTGAGCTTGTTGTCTTTGACAGGGTCAATCACATACTTTGATTACTATACAGGGCAAGAGAGAGGTTTAGTCGTTTTAACCTGTCAAATTAAAACAAGAAAACCGACAATTTCGAAGCAGAAGCGGATGATTAAAACGCACCTATTAAAAATATTGCGCCAAGATGTAGGCAACACGTAATAAGGGATCAAAATGGCGGAGGTTTCTATCTCCTTTTAAAATGCACTCAGAAAGCTGCGCAGTGCGACCATTCTCCGTATAGTAAAAGAAAATCAAAGTGTGTGGGGTCAATGACTCATATATAGTCACAGAATAACCTACCTATTACAGAAGCAAAGGATAGCTAATTTTTAGGGTCCAAAATTTTTTGTGCATGATCAGGACCCTCATTTTATAACCGGCAATGTCACATGCGAGTGTTGTTTTGATGTGTCAGGATCAGACATTTGTAATATATGATTTTCCTTTTGAATTTAGTGTTTTTGTGTTTTCCTTTGTATATTTTTTAACAATTATTGAGTAAATCTGTGTTTAGTGTTTTCCTTTGTCTATTTTATGAACATTGTTTAGTAAACATGTTTTAATCGAAGACTTTTTGTGGTATGTGCTGAGTTATTTACATATTTTTATTTATTTTATTAAAGCAAAATAATTTTTTAGTGATCTGATGGAATCTAAAAGAAAAAGATGTGTTTATCGCCCATGTCTATTTCGAATGGATTCAAATACTAGTTATTTTTCATTTCCCAAAGATTCAGAAAGGTATGCAAAATAAATTATACAATTTAAATGAGGAAAACTGATAGCTGTACCTAACAAATAGTTTAAATTTTGATCCAGATATCCAAATTTACCAACGTTATGTGCTACGTTTGAAAAGTACCTCCTGGACCTAAGTAGAACTAGTAGATTTTTTAATCATATGATAATCGAGCTTATGTGGAATAAAAGAACATCTATAGATTTGTTTGTGTTTCCAGTTTCCGGTTTCCATTAAAATAAACTAAAACCTTTCTTTTAAATCAAATTTGATTTCTCTTCTCCTGGTTTTTGTTGCAAGTTGCAAAATAAACTTAATTTTTAGCTGTGGTATTTTTCGCTTTTTGCCATCACTAGAAAATAAAACATGTTCTCATTTTTTATAAATATTTTTTGCTCCTAGTAACCAGATATTTAAATAAGACGAAAAATAATAAACTGTGACACATGAGATAAACAGTCTGTACATCTCACAGAAGTACATCTACAACTTCAGTTGCTTTTTTCCAGTGAACTGTATAGTTAAAAACAGTTTTCTGCTTTTTTCTTTGTCCATTGTCACATAAATTACATTTACTCCGAAAGCTCTAAAATTTAATTCAGAGGAAATAGATCTTACTTGACTTACCAGCTCTGCATTAAAAGACTAGGGAGCAGATACCATCGAGAAACCACAGATGTATTAAAAGAACGGCTTCGATTGAAATGAGTAAAACGAGGTACTTTTTAAATGCAGCAATGTTAACTGTATATTATTTATTTGGCTATTTAATCAAAACAATTATTTTATTATCATTTTTAAATCAAATTATATTTATGTAGCTATGACAATGTATTTTGTATTTTTTTAGTGTTCCCATGAGGTTAAGAGCCTGTAATTGAGAAGACTTGATTAATATAACCAGTGAATAATTGCACAAAAGCTACCAGTTGTGTAAAAAACATTTCCAGCCCAGTAGTTTTTCAGTTGGATCAACTCGGAAACGTTTATTTGAAAATGTACTTCTGACAATATTTTGGCACACACTCGCAACAAATGACAACATTGATCATTCTGAATGAATCTGTACTCTCAACATCTACTACTAAATCCCACGACGATTTTCTCAGTGCACCAGGTATTAAAAATAATATAAAAGTGTTGTGTTTATACTGTTTAAACACAAAAAGCCTCTAACTAGAAGACATTCTAACGAATACAAGCAGTTTGCGATTACCTTGTATTTTTTAGACCTAGGGCATATTGTTTGGTCTAAAATTTTGTGTCTTTTGGTGTGTATTTTTCATATTGAGATTTTTAATAATTTGATTTTTGTAATACGTGTTTTTCGTATTTTAGTTTATTAAAATTAATAGTCAGTATGGGTATGTGTTTTATTTATAACAACCTTTTTCCTACAGTACTTTTCTTCAAATCTGAATTTAATTCAAAGTTCTAATAATTATGCATCTAAAAATTCAAATTTATGTGTACAATAAATTCATATGATTTATAAACAAATCCTAAATCCAGTCTGGATTTATGAAATACAGCTACGAGGATGTGCCATAATATAAGTTTTCCAAAATAAAGTCCTAAGATGTATTATTGATGCACCCTGCTCTATCTAAACGATTATCTTCATACAAACAAATAAGAAAAAGAAGTTACTGCAAAACATGAGAATCGACTCCACTCTCACGTTAATGAAGAAGTGCTGCAATTACTGGACAACTCTGCACAGAAGACTCGAAAGAAAAGCCGTTTGAGCTAGTGCAGTGAACGTTAGTGCTAGTATAAAACAGTATAATAAATCGTTTTGCCAATTATTGGTGATGCTTTTCTATCAACGACTACTAGATTAATTTTGTTTACAAAAATAGAATTGTAAAAAATCACGGATTTATCCACCAAGTTGTCAAATTATTATAAGAGAGTATGGCGAAAGTCTTATTACAAGGATTGTTTATGGTATTATTGACATCATAAGGCTCTAAAACACATAAAAGGCTTTCAAAATTACAGTTTGGAAGTATATTTGCATTTTTAATGCCAGTTATTATCAGTAAAATCTATTTTTCTAAATCCAACTAGCATAGTTAAAGGTGTTTTCCAGGAAAGTACACAATTAATTAATACATCAATAAATTGTAAAGTTAAAGAGTTAATGTTATCTAAAAAACGGATGAATTAAGTACCGGTCTCTTTTCTCAAGTAAAAACCTTCTTTAGTTTACAATTTACTTCAAAATAAATTATTGAGAAGCATTATTTTTCTAATTATATCACTAACCTACTAACCCTCAATTCAGAAAAGAAATAGTGGATGTTGCTGAATAAGTTTGTTACATATATTTAAATCCTTTTCTCAGTGTATTATCCGAATGTATACGAATCTTGTTCAGTTTTACCAGTGTAACAATTGGCAAAAACGTCAACTGTCACCAAGTGTCACTTTAAATTTTGACCACCCCGATATCAAACGTGCCGACACAAGCCTTCGCTTCTGTAATAGGTAGGTTATTCTTTATTCTGTGATAAATTGCTCAAAGCAGGTTGTTTTGTGAGCGGCCATATTGCCTCTTTTTAATCAGAATTAGTTTAGCAAAAATGTGTTTTGTAAGTAATTTTCAGCCGTTGAATATAGTAAAAAAATAATAATTACATACATTTTTACTTCAAGGGATAAGATTATGTTTATTTTAAAAAACATGGATGATCAATTTATACAACTATCTATATAATTGACCTGTCAAATCACCAGGCTCATAGGGTTGCCATATCATGACCTGTCATTACCCACGGGCAACCATTTTGTTTAGAATGTCTAATAGGCTATGATATGACTATCTCTAGTCTTCATAGATATGACTGATAAAGACATAATAACTACGAATGCATCTGGATTAAATTCAAATTCAAAAATGCCTGTTACAAAGGTAGTAGTAGGAAAATGATATTTAAACAAAATTGTAGTCAGTTCGATACATCTTCTCAGGTTATTTTAAAATGTTCTTATGCATGTTTTAGGATATTTAATCAACAAATAAGCAGAATAGCATCAAGCACGATTCTACTTTCATTGACAACGGCATCAATGTGTGTCATTGCAGCCTTTTACTTTATTTTTAACGTAAGTAGAAATAGTAGAAATATTGAGAGGTTATGTTATAGTTTCTTCTTAGACTAGGTAATAAAGAGTAATAACGCCGCTGAAAATAAAAAAACGGACTTGTATTTATCTTACTAGTACTTTATTGATCATTTTAGGTATAAAGCAAGTTTAAAGCGTAAAGTTTTAAATAAATGAGGCAATAAATAAGTCACACGAAAAAAATATATTGAAATAAACTGAATGAAATCATTTACATAATAAAATTACTGTTTTTTTTTAAACTCCACAAAATAAAACAAAATGATCTACGTGTATTACAAAAAGATTTATTTTTAGTTAATAAAGAATGGCACTATTAATAACTTAAGCTAGTAAGAAAAATTATACATAAATGAAGATAAATTTATTACTGGCCCTTAAATAATATTAATTTGGTATAATAACAAGAAGTTTTAGCGAAACAACTCTTTTTTTAAGTTTTTGTTTAAGAACTTTGATTTGTCTCGTTTTTTCTTTATTCTTTTCTACCTGTTGTAAAAGTTGTCTTCTTACCAGTTTTATGCTAGGGCTTTCTAGGATAGATTCCTTATTTGTAGTTCTATTTGAAAGGCCTAAAAATTAATATTAACAGAGACAACTAATGAGACGGTTAACTCAATGCAATTTTGCTTTTCGCCAAGAATTGACTGGGCGATTGGACTGGAAGATGTAGCCGATGGCGCTGGTATACCTTGTGCTTTAATAGTGGCCTTTTCTTTATAAGCAACCAGTCAATTTAAAATTTTTCTTTAAAAAAAGAAGAACCGCTGGAAATTCAAATATGTAGATCCACTTTATATTTTTTATATAATGATTTTTTTCTGATTTGATGCACTGAAAATGTAGAGTAGAAAAAAATGTATGAGGCAAAATAAACAATTTAGAAAGGTCAACAATAATATTCAACTTCTTTTATCAAAGGATACTAAAAGTTTGAAATAGCAGCACATAATTGAACACAGAAATCTGTGAACTAAACTAGTGAGATACATATCGTAAAATGTTCACACTTAATTGTCCATATGATCCTTTCTAAGTGTATTTCACAGCACATTCCAAAGTATTCTTGCTCTCGCTCTGTCCTACCTTCATGGTACTTTTGCATGTCCATGTTCAATAAAAAATAATGTTTTAATAAATAACAGAATAATGGTATTTTGTCTATAAATAGGTATATCGGCTTCATCTGTATTTTCAAATTACTGTTTAATTGTAGATAGTATATTATTGTTCTGATATGTACTTTGTAACCCCTTCCTGTTCTTAAAGAAGGGTTGTACAGATTAATTGTGGTCCGATAAGTTAATTTTTTAATATTGTCATGAAATTCCTAATCCAACCCTGTGCCTAAAGCAAGCGCGGCTTTCAAAAGGCAACCAACTCATGCTCAAGGCGACGGAATGTTCTGGGAATGCCGCTGCGGCTCTAGAAACGGGTAGAACGGGCGAAATGTGCCGTTGAGTCAGAGATAGAATTTTCGAGACGACCGTCTGGAGACTTCTAGTAGGAGTTGGACTTAATATAAATAGCTGACGTATCAGCGCAAAGTTTAGTTGAATATAAAACATTGTATTGAAAAAATAAAGTGTAAGAAATAAATTAGAATTATTAGTTAGTGTCTAAATATTATATAAATTAAATAGTACGTCTGAAATAAATTGTAAATAGTGTGTTTTTAAATAAATAAACTTTAAATAAATTAGACTTTCGTCACATTGGTGTTAGAAGTGGAACTATAAATAAATAGTAGACAATAATGGCTAAAAGACTGTGAATTAAAAGTGGCTGAATTGCGTCGCGAATTAGAAGATCGTGATCTGAAGACTACAGGGAAGAAAGCAGAACTGGCAGAGAGGCTTAAAGAAGCACTGAAAAGTAAAGGTTTGGATCCGGAAACGTTTCTATTTTCGGATGATGCGTCTTCTATCATTTCTTCAATTTTCGATATGAAAAACAATATGTCTGCTTTAAAAACCAATATTTCTTCCGACATTTCTTCTTTATAAAATAAAGTTTCTTCAGATGTTTCCTACATAAAAAATTACATTTCCTCATTAGAAACTAAAGTTTCTTCAGACATTTCTTCCTCAGAAGAAAAGGTGTCTTCTGATATGTCTTCCGTGAAAAACGAAATCTCTTCTTTAGAAACTAAAGTTTCTTCTGATATCTCTTCTTTAAAAGACGAAATGTCTGCCGACTTGGAAAACAAAATGTCTGCTGATGTGGAAAATAAGATGACTTCTGTTGTGGAGAAAATAATGTCTTTCGTTGAAGAGAAAATAAAAGAAATGGAAAAGAAGATAGAAGAACTGGAACATTTAGACCCGGCCAAGGATGTTGAAATTAATTGCCATGAGGTGGAGTCGAAGTTGAAATTGGAAGGAGCTATAAACATCGCCCTTCGAGGAGACGCTTTGGATGTCCTTCAGACTATACCCGTGGAAGAGACAGATGATTTTGAGCAACTCAAAAAGAGACTAAATATGCGATATGGCCACGAACACTTGAAGCATTTGTACCAGTCACAGTTGAAGAATCGGAAATAGAAACGAGACGTGACTTTTCAAGAATATGAAGTAGATATTGCCAGCTTGGTGCGATTTGCTTACCCATCAGCTCCGGAAAACATGATAGAATGTTTAGCAGTCCAAACATTTGTTGATGGACTCCGTGACCACGAGATGCAGAAAACACTCCGCTTGGCCCGCCACAAAACATTGGTCGATGTCTTGTTTGCTGCTTTAGAATATGAGGCAGCTACGCATGCTTCTGGTGGATACAGTAAAAGAGGACTAAAAGAAGAAAACGTAGAGGATAAACTCGACCAACTAGTTAACATAATGAAGACCTTTACTAATAAAAAGATGAAGACAGAGACTATCAGGTGCTGGAATTGCGGTGAACTGGGACATGTACGCAGTTCGTGCAAACGCTCTAGGGTCCCAACAACTGTAGACAACACGCCGCAGGAAAACTAGAGCGGATCGGCGTAGAGGGGGCAGCTTCGACCCGAAACCGTTCCAAAGACCCTCTCATACTGATAGCCTCTTTGAAATGTCGCGATAATAGTGTATACGTAGACGGCGAAATAAATGGTAAAAAGTATGCACTGTTGGTGGATACTGGAGCAACTAGAACCATTATATGACCAACAACCATAAAGAACTGTAAGAGACTTCTACCAACAAGGTTGCGACTGCGGACTGCCACAGATGAAAGTACCAACATCCATGGGGAAATCCAGGTTCAATTGGGAATTGGTACAGAAAAGTTCACTCATACTGTTATTGTCGCTGATATCGAAGAAGATGTTATTCTTGGAATGGATGTAATGAACTTACATGGTTTCCAGTTGGACTTTAAGAACAGTGTGATCAAAGTTGATGCCGAAGAGGCATTCCTACATCCATATGGGGACAGTACCGTGCCAGTTGCTGCACAGGAGGATACGGTGGTACCTGGCAGAAGTGAAACCGTTGTAGTAGCACGGCTTCAAGAAACTATGGAAGAAGGAACACCTGTCATGATGGAACCTTGGAACCACGATGAAGAGGTTGGACAAGGCATTCTGATCGGAAAGGGGTTGGTCACGACTGCTAAAGAAATTCCAGTCCGTCTCATAAACGTTAATGATCACCCGATTACCATCAAGAAAGAGACCAGAATCGGAACTTGTGTACCAGTAACTTCCATAATTCGTCAGACAACAACTTCTGATAATTCCAACGACAAATTCGAGCAAATGATTGCAGTTGCTGGTCAATCTCTGAATCAATCAGAGAAGAAGAAAATAAAGGAATTTCTTTAACGATATCGTGACATTTTTGTACCAAAAGGAGGAAAAACAGGAAGAACTTCTGTTGTAAAACACAAAATTGACACTGGTGACGCCAGACCGATTCGTCAATCAGCTCGAAGGTTACCAAAGGACAAGAGAGAAAGAAAGCTGAAAGGATTGTTCAGGAAATGAAGAAAGACAGGGTGATAGAACTTTCTACCAGCCCATGGGTCTCTTCGGTAGTCCTGGTCCAGAAAAAGGATGGAACTACGAGGTTCTGTGTGGATTACCGTCAGTTGAACAATGTTCGTATCGACGATACCTTGGACACATTGGCCGGAAGTAAACTATTCTCTACCTTAGACTTGAAGTCTGGATACTGGCAGGTGGAAATGGACCCAGTAGACAAAGAAAAGACAGCTTTTACCACCGGATCTGGATTGTGGCAATTTAATGTTATGCCATTTTGATTATGTAATGCCCCCGCGACATTTGAAAGACTTATGGAAAATGTATTGAGAGGGTTATCCTGGAAAACATGCCTGGTGTATTTAGACGACATTTGATGAACATCTAAAAAACTTAGAAGATGTTTTTAAAAGCTGCCCAACTGATGCTTAACCCCAAGAAGTGCCAACTATTTCAAAATAAAGTTAATTACCTGGATCATGTAGTCAGCGCCAATATTAGGGTACCCACTACCAGAGGGATAATTTATCCTGGATACTGATGCCAGTAATGTGGGAATTGGAGGAACGCTTTCACAGATTCAAGGGGGAAAAGAAAGAGTACTGTGTTATTTTAGTAAAGTGCTCTCTAAACCTGAGCGAAATTACTGCGTCACGAGAAGAGAACTTCTGGCAGTTGTGAAATGCGTGGAATACTTCTACCAATACCTATATGGACGGAAATTCTTAATCCGTACCGATCATGCTGCTTTTAAGTGGTTGATGCAGTTCAAAAATCCGGAGGGTAAAATCGCCAGATGGATTGAGCGACTTCAGGAGTACGACTTTAAGATCGAACATAGGGCCGGAATTAGCCACAGAAATGCCGATTCTCTTTCTAGAAGACCGTGTCCAGCAGAGTGTTCCCACTGCAACAAAGCGGAATCCAAAGAAAGTGGACTACTAAGAACAACGGTAGTCAACGATGAGTGGACCCCTGCTAAAATTAGGGAAGAACAAGAAAACGATACAGT